GTGAGACAAAAATCTGATATAAATTACAGCTAAGAGGTACATAATTGCCAGGAAAGAATTGTGTTTCATGGTGTTCAGTTTTACATTTTAGTTTCTGAAAAAGTTATGAGGTGAGCAAAGACAGGATGACCAGATATTCTGCCACCCCAACCTTCCCAGTTTAAATATATATCTAAATTGTTTTTAGTACATGGGAATACTATGACCTCAGGCATATTTGCATATTTAGTTTGCAGAATTGTAGAGAAGTGCCATCTAATTAGTACTTGCTCTTTGTGGACAATAATTGAGCACAGATAACTGTCACCCAATTATTGTTTGCTAGTAAATTAGTGCTTTATTCTGCACCCCATTATGTTCATGTCTAAAAACATATCCTTTCCTTTTCTTCACAGAAAGTCAACACAACAAATTGCTAGCACCACTTCACATCTCTGTACGTGATGATAGGTCTTTTTGCCTTCAGAATACCTAATGTTGATATATTTGGTAGTTTTTTTGCAATTGGGTTTCTATGCCAATCATGACAATATGCTGCTATGAAGACATTCCAGGATCTGAGAAGCCCAACAAACCAAAAATGTTTTCCAGTGAGAGTACAAATCACACCTTCAAGCAAATGACACTGATATGCCATTTCTGAGGTAGCATCCACTGCTTTAGATGCCATTTCTCTATTCCCAAAAGGGGTGTGCTGTGTTGAGAGTACTGATGGGATAGAAAGAAGATCACCATGCCTACATCACCCAAACTTTTGATTTTTAGTTTCCTATTTAATTTTCTTGACTTTAATTGTTTAAAACTTCTTTTTTACCTCTTTATTATATTGTAAGCCACCCAGAGTTACTTTAACAATGATATAAAAATTTAATAAATAAATAAATTCATGGGTAGGAAATAATTGATATGAATATTAAGCTTTACTAATTTTGCTTGCATTTGCAAACCTCTTGTGATATTACATGATAAGTGGGGGACTTATCACACGTGTGCCTGGATTTTATTATTGTTTGGAAGATAACAAGAATTAATGAAATGGGCATACAACATACAATCAACTATTTCTGGCATACAACATACCATCAACTATATCCTGTGGATAATAGATGTTTTTAGGAGAGAATATCTTTCAGCTAGGCTCATGTCTGTTGTATGGTCTCACAACTTATTTGCAGTAGGATATTTTGATATTTTTTTGTGAGGAATCAAAACTCTTATCTTCATATTATTCATGTAATGATGGTTGTCTTGATGTAGCTCTATTTACAATATATATATGATGTAGCTCTATTTACAATATATCTTCATATTATTCATGTAATGATGGTTGTCTTGATGTAGCTCTATTTACAATAGAAATAAGGAAGGCTTGAGTTAACTAATTCATCTAATGGATCTGCATTACATGGATGCTAGTCTACTGGCACAAGATGGAATAAGTTATACAAGACTGAGAAAACTATGTTTGCTATAACTGTTGAAGTTAATTGGAATATTTATAAACTTAAACATGTGGCGTTGAGTATAGAAATGCAAAAGTAAGAATTACAGGTATGAACTTATGCACTAGTAATAGTCATAACTTAACTGGAATATATTATGCCACTTAGTGAAATAACTGAATAAAAATTGTCTGATAAAGCTCCATAATTTCAATTATGTAAATGCTAATGTTCAACTTATAACAAGCTAAACTTTTTTTTACATAAAACAATTAAATTTGGAAAATGTTGAAATGATTTCCCTGATTTCCAATATAATTACTTTGCTTTTGCTGACACCATTTCCATTTCCCCTTCCCTCTCTACCTCATCTCTACCAAAATTTCCCTACTATACTTCTTCCATAGTTATCCTATAGTCATATGCTGTGTTCCCCAAATGACACTGGAGCTATTAACAACAATGGCAAATATTTATTCTGACACAATTAATATTTCCTAAAATTTATTTATTTCAGTTCTAGCAATAACTGAAAAGTCTAACGATGAGTTGCCTTGTTAAAAGCAAGGCCTTCTGCAATAGTAAATGAAAAGGTTTCCACTCATTGCACCCAAATAAGGCACTTGATGAAGGATGACACCTGGTATAATAATGCATCAAAATTTTAATACTCCCTAGTAAGTATCCCAAATGGGTGCCAGATGCTATCTCAACTCACTTGTCAGAGTCTGGTTATTAGAGGCCAAAACCTAAGGCGGCTAGATTNAAAAAAAAACAATATTTACATAGAAGACGTTTTTCCTCTTTTGCTTTAAATATATGCCATAACATTTTGACTCTTATTCTAGTTTAAGTTTATTGTTTTTTTTTCCTACTATACTTTTTATCAACCTAAAACAATATATTATACAAAGAGGTTACTGTTTCCTTACATTGTGAATCTGGGTATACTGAAAATATCAATAGAAAGTTACTGAGCATTGTAAAAATTCATATTATATTTTTTAAAGATAAATGGCTAGTTTAGTTGTGAATCTGCTGAGCATTTAAACTCTGTTTGCTTAGTATTTATTTAGATATCTTCACATAAAGAATGGGTTTTATTGCTTCTGCCTCACAATGCAATTATTCATGTATACACTTTCATGAATGTAGACCTTATAAATGTGAATCTAATCAATATAAAACACAAACAAATGAAGCAGATCTCCCAGCTTTTTAACAAGCAATGTAGGCAACCATGAAGATAAGTGAATGTGCTTTTTCAAATATAATTATTTCTCCTTCATGTTAAAAATTTGCTTGCAGGCAATTTACTTCATTCTTCTTGTTTGTTTCCCCCATTAATAATTTTATTATTTAGAGCAGTCACCTTTTTATGTGAATGTAATGAATGCTTCAAAAGAAAGGCAAACTTGGAATCTATTGTTTCAAAGTATAAGCTGTAAGGAATCCAAAGTGAAATAAAGAGAAGTTTATGGATATTTCAAATACACAGTTCAAGCCAGTGACATGCGGTGAGGTTTATGGCTGGTGAAGCAAAAAGAAAGAAAGCGGGTTTTGGCCGCCCCACCGCTATGTCCGGGATGCCTCTATGTCGGTGTCGGACATAGCAGCGGGACGGGCAAAAGCCACTTTCTTTCTTTTGCGGCAAAAGAAAGAAAGCGGCCGCCTGCCAGCAGAGGCAGGTAAAAGACCCGCCTATGCTGGCGGGCTGCCCCGACACAGAGAAAGAAAACTGGTGGGCTGCCCTCCCTGCCACTCCTACCCCTTTTCCTCTGAGTGAAGAAACAAACACTGCCCTGACACAGAGAAAGAAAACTGGCGGGCTGCCCACCCTGCCTCTCCTACCCCCTTCCCTCTGAGTGAAGAAACAAACGCGTGCACGTACACACACACACACACACACACACAAATTATTTACAATTACTTACAAATTAATTTTGAATTCCTCCTCTTCCCTCCGACCCACATACCTTTTCCAGCTGTTTCACAATCACAGAAGATTTCAACTCTGCTCTT